GTGTGTGTGTGTGTGTGTGTGTGAATTTAAGTTCCTTGTAAATGTTGGATATTAGATCTTTGTCAGATGCCTTGTTTGCAAATATTTTCTCCCATTCGTAGGTTGTCTGTTTACTCTGTTGATGGTTTTTTTTGCTGTCCAGAAGCTCTTTAGTTTGGTTAGATCCCATTTGTCAATTTTTGCTTTTGTTACAATTGCTTTTTGACATCTTCATCATGACATCTTTGTTTGTGCCTGTGTCCTAAATAGTATGGCCAAGGTTGTTTTCTGAGGTTTTTATAGTTTTGTGTTGCACATTTAAGTCTTAAATCCATCTTGAGTTAATTTTTGTATATGGTCTAAGGAAGGGGTCCAATTTCAATCTTCTGCATATGGCTAGCCTGTTATCCCAGCACCATTTATTGAATAGGGAATCCTTTCCCCATTGCTTGTTTTTGTTTTTCAGGTTTGTCAAAGATCAGATAGTTGCAGGTGTGCAGTCTTAAATTCTCGGTTATCTGTTCTGTTCCGTTGTTTTTGTACCAGTTCCATGTGTTCTGGTTACTGTAGCACTGTGGTGTAGTTTGACATCGGGTAGCATGGTGCCTCCAGCTTTGTTCTTTTTGCTTAGAATTGTCTTGGCTATTTTTTGCCTGAGCTCTTTTTTGGTTCCATATGAATTTTTTTAATGGTTTTTTTCTAATTCTGTGAAGAATCTCAATGGTAGTTTAATAGAAATAGCATTGAATCTATAAATTGCTTTGGGCAGTATGGTCATTTTAACAATATTGATTCTTTCTATCCATGAGGAAGGAATGTTTTTCCATTTATTTGTGTCATCTCTGATTTATTTGAGCAGTTGTTTTTAGTTCTCCTTGGAGAGATCTTTTACTTCCCTAGTTAGCTGTGTTCCTAAGCAGCAATTGTGAATGGGAGTTTGTTCCTGATTTGGCTCTCAGCTTGACTGTGGTTGGTGTGTAGGAATGTTAGTGATTTTTGCATATTGATTTTGTATCCTGAGATTTTACTGAAGTTTTTTTCTTTTTTTTTTAAATCAGCTTAAGAAGGCTTTGGGCTGAGACTATGGGGTTTTCTAGACATATAATCATGTTGTCTGCAAATAGAGAGAGTTTGACTTCCCCTCTTCCTATCTGGATGCTCTTTATTTCTTTCTCTTTTCTGATTGCCCTAGCCAGGACTTCCAATAGCATGTTGAATAGGAATGGTGAGAGAGGGCATCCTTGTCTTGTGCCTGTTTTCAAGAGGAATGCTTCCAGCTTTTGCCCATTTTGTATGATGTTGGCTGTGGGTCTGTCATATATGGCTCTTATCATTTTGAGCTATGTTCCTTCAATACGTAGTTTATCGAGAGTTTTTACCATGAGTGGATTTTGAATTTTATTGAAAGCATTTTCTGCATCTATTGAGATAATCGTGTCTTTTTTGTCTTTAGTTTTGCTTATATGATGAATCATATTTATTGATTTGCATATCTTGACCCATTCTTGGATTGCAGGGATAAAGCCTACTTGATCATGTTGGATAAGTTTTTGATGTGTTGCTGGATTTAATTTGCCTGTATTTTGTTGAGGGTTTTTGCATTGATATTCATCCAGGATATTGGCCTGAAGTTTTCTTCTTTTGCCGTTGTATCTCTTCCAGATTTTGGTATCAGGATGATGCTGGCTCCACAGAATGAGTTAGGAGGAGTTCCTCCTCTTCAGTTTTTTGGAATGGTTTCAGTAGCTATCAGCTCTTCTTTTTACAACTGTTAAATTCAGCTATGAATCTATCTGGTTCTGGGCTATTTTTGTTGTTATTAGGCAATTTATTACTTCCTCAATTTCAGAGCTCGTTATTTTTCTGTTCAGGGATTCAATTTCTTCCTGTTTAAGTCTTGAAAGTCTATGTTTCAACAGATTCGTCCATTTCTTGTAGATTTTCTAGTTGATGTGCATGGAGGTTTTCATAATATTGTATTTGTGTGGGGTCAGTGGTTACGTCTCCCTTGTCATTTCTGACCGACCCTATTTTCAATTTCTACTGAGACTAATATAAATAAAAGAAAAAACTGCACCTAATACTATAAAGCAAAATTATCTAGAATTATCCAATTTACAAATTTTTTGTGGGTCTAGCTCACGCCGTTCTGGAAGTCAGTGATGACTACATATCCAAGCCGAATAAATTGAGCAAAAACTTTTATGAATGTTCTTGGTGTATCTGGCACTCTTCTTTTCTTTTCCTTTCTTTTTCTGGTGTTTTTTGTTTGTTTGTTTGTTTGTTTGTTTGTTTTTGATACAGAGTCTCACTCTGTCACCAGGTTGGAGTGCAATAGCGCAATCTCAGCTCACTGCAACATCCATCTCCCGGGTTCAAGCAATTCTCCTGTCTCAGCCTCCGAGTAGCTGGGATTACAGGCACCCATCACCATGCCTGACTAATTTTTGCATTTTTAGTAGAGATGGGGTTTCACCATGTTGGCTAGGGTGGTCTCAAACTCCTGACCTCAGGTGATCCACCTGCCTCAGCCTCCCAATGTGCTGGGATTAGAGCCATGAGCCACCATACCTGGCTAGCTGGCACTTTTCTATGCATTTCAAAATAGATTATTTCAGTGATACTCCATTTTCCTGATTTCTACCTCCAATCCTATGAACCCCACACACCTTAACTAGTAGCACCCATTGATCCCACTCCCTGGAAGAAGGTTACATCTTCTTCCAGGAAGCTTTCTCCTAAATTGTATCATCGGGTTAGGCCCTCACTTCCAGCATCTGAGCACTCTAACTGATCACAATGTTGTCTTCACCACTAGGCTCTGAGCATTTACCTGGTTCACTGATTAGCACATAACTTTGAAACTCAGGACAACGTATTTAGCAAACAGCCCTAGAGTTCTGCTATGCAGAAGGTATTTATTAAATTTTATAATTCATCCAAGTGTAAAAAATAGGAAGATCTATCACCAATAGTCCAAAATATTTGAGCTTACCAAGAAAGTAAGTTCTAGGAAATGAAATTTAGCTTTGTTTCCTGTAGTCAGATTTGTGATTTAGGAATAGGCCACAGAAGTTGGATTTATGGTATGCATAAAAACATAAACAAAGAATCAAAGGTAAAGAAGATTTCTCTATGGCTCTGTCTTACCTTTTCAATATCACCCAGACCCTCAGTGTCCAGAAGGACCAGGGTGAGGTTTGGTTTGGAGGGATGGGGCAAACACCACATCCAGATGCCTTTGGTTTTAGACTTCACTGTGCAGCCCAGAGGGAAGCCTTCAAAGGAAGAGGAGAAACAACATATACTGACAGGAGAATCCAGGCAGACCAAGTTATACTGTTTAAATGTATAGGAATGTAAGTGTCTGGTAGGGGAAATGGTTGCTTCCATTTTAGCAAAGACAACTAATCCAATCTTTATTTATATAAATGACTTTCTCAAGAAGTATTTGGGTCCCCTATTCACCTCATATCTCTATAAGCTCAAATATTACAGAATTAATGTAAACTCTACTAACCTGTTGCTATGGTCTGATTGTTAGTCCCTCCAATACCCCATTCATATGTTAGAACTTAATCCCAAAATGGTGATATTAAGAAGTCAGAAGTGGTTAAATAGGAAAGGATCATGCCCTCAGTTAAAAAACTAATACCCTTATCAAAGACATTGAGGGAGTTTCACTGTTCCTCCTGCCCCTTCTGCCATTTGGGGATGGTGGGAAACCACCTTTGTGAGTAACAAGCCCTCACTAGACATTGAATCTCCCTGTGCTTTAATGTTGGACTTCTCAACCTCCAGATCTGTGAGAAATAAGTTTTTAGTACTTATAAATTACCCTGTCTAATTATTTTGTCATAGTGGCAGACAAAGACTGAGAAATCTGTGTATATTTTATGCGACACTGAAGAGGAAGAAAAAGCATGCACCCATAAGTGAAATTAGAGAGGGGGCTGGGACAAGAGCTCCAAGTGCTGAGACAAGCGTTCATCTTCAGGTAGTGACTCTTTTTCCTTAGATGGGTGTCATGTTAACAGAAAGACATCCAAATGGAGGAGAGTCTGACATGGAAAGGACACTGTAAAACATCCACTCTAGTACTCTAGTACAGTCTGTCGAAATGGTTTCCAAGAGTGGAGTAGTGAGAGTAACATCTTGAAATGTAGTTGAGGAGTCTGTGATTTGAACCCCAGAATATGTAGCCAAGTAGACCAAATTGAGTAACAGGACTCACTTAAGTGTTTCAGATGGACAATGACAAAAATCAGCCAAAAATTTAAGAAAACCCGTGAGGTATTAGAATACAGCAGGAATCAAAAAGTTATGCCTTGGGCTAGTAAAAACGTTCTAGAATTTTAAAGGCAGAAGGTGTGAAAGTTGTCAGCATCAAAATGGAGTCACTTATGCCAAACTTTAATGAAGTCAGCAGATCGTGAAGGAAAAGCTCTCATGCACACTTTCCTGTGATGGGAACTGCCATTAAGGATGTTGCCAATCCACCACCTTGCAACACAGGCTAATGTTATGAGGACATCATTCCAATAACAGCCAGTCCTAACTGTAAAGTTGCAAGTGGTATAACTTGCAATCAGGGTCCCTTCTGCACTGGCTCTTTTAGCAACAGCCAGTACACATGTTAACTCCTGTGAGTAAGCTCTTGTAAATCAATAAACTTTTGTTTTAGAACAACCTGCATGTACTTCTCTTTTTTGTCTTCAAAGTTTCCCACTGTCTCAACCACCGTGGATGCACCTATTATTTATTATAGCATTTATACCCGAATTCAGTATGCATATGGTTCCCTGCTCATTCTTAACCCAAAGTGAGCTCATCTTAGAATGATCAGCAGCCCCTGAAACCTGCGTGGTACACACGTGTTGAGCCTTTCGATCTCTTCGTTTCCACAGCTGACCTTTTCCGCCCTGTCGAGTCTCCTCTTGGGTTAAAATTCCTTCTTTCTGTCTAGTTGAGGATCTTATTTGGATAAGGTCCTCTCAATAAAAGGCATTGAATGCCTTCTTAGCCTAAAAAAGACTGTCTTTTCTGGCAAGCCCTTCATGAGATAAGAACATTGTCCTTTTGGTGAGTACTCTTTTGTTTTTGTTTACTTCTGCATGCCTGGTTTAATATTTTGTTTGGTCTGCATGAATCCCAAATCTTTACATGACCTAAGAGGTGTATTCTTCCATGTAGTGAATAACTTTGGCAATATTCTTGACACAACTTTTTGTTCAAATTGTACCAGTGATCTCTTTTTACAGAGTTAGCACTCTCAGCTTTGATTAACCCTGTATTGAGATACTAAATAATAGAATCACTAACCAAACTACATAAAAGACTCAATACCGCTAGCAAATCTTACCCAGTTCCACATGGTCTTTTAATTTGTTTAACTGGGCTCTTGGTTCAGAACCATTGTCCAAAATGAATTTTTTTTTTTGCTCCTGTTGGTTTTGCTTTGTATTATTTTCTTTAAGCTGTGTACCTATTATCTGTCCAACTTCTGCATAAATGAGACTCCTAACAGAATAATGCTGGCTCAGCACTGAAAGAGTATGCCAAAAATGTGGAATTGACAAAATTGACTTAATAATGAATTCCAGGTAGAATTAGCCTGAAACACACTCCTTCCAAACCTCCTTGTTGCTCAAATGTGGCTAAAAGTGTTTTGAAACTGACTCCCAGTCACCAATCACTTTCCCCTGACTTGGGACCAAACCAATGAAATCAAGTGCATCTAGCACTAAGGAACACATACTACATAACTACAGGATGATTGATCAGAGATGTTTCAGAGAAAGACCTTGATCAAAGGGAGAAATGCAAAGGCTGTCAGAAGCAAAATGGAGTCACTTACACCAAACTCTTAACAAAATGGAGTCAGGAATTCATGAAGGAAGGGCTTTCATGTATACTTTCCTGTAGTGGGAACTGCCATCAAGGACATTTACAAACTACAGCCTTACAACAAAGGCTACTTCTGTACTTCCAGTAATAGCCAGTCCTAACCACAACCTTGCAAGTGGCCTTACTTGCTGCAATCAGGGTTATATCCATAAAACTTTAGTTAGGGTTATGTTAGTTAGGTTTACATCCATAAAACTTCAGTTAGGGTTTTATATCCATAAAACTCTCTCAAGCAAGATCCAATGTGCATGTCACCACCTGCAATATGATCCTGTAAACCGATGAACTTTTATTTTACATCAACTGGCATATACTTCTCCTTTTTGCCTTTAAAAGTTTCTCACTCCCTTAACCTTTCCGGATGAGCTCATGATTTGTTATAGCATGCATTTCCAGAATTTATAAATCCCCTGCTTATTCCTGAATATAGTCATTTCTTTGGAGAGTGACTATCTGTTGTTATTTTCAGTTGACAGAAGAACTCAAGGTATGGTAGTCAAATCACTCATTTCCTGAATGATGAAATTGAAAAGTAGAAATGGTAACTGATTGACTTAGTTGGAAAGACATACAGACTACACTTTAACGTCAGCCTTGTGACTGGTAGCTGGTGCTTTATAAGCCACACTGATTGCCTGACACTGGACAACAGTCTCATGTAAAAGAGATAAGAGAAATTATAACTAATAGTGACCTTAATTACAAAAAATGGAAATATAGAAATTAGAATATCCAACATGGATTGAAATATTCACTTTATCTTAAAGTTCTGTGGAAACTTGCTGACTGCATGAATATTTTAGTAAATATTTAATAATGCATTATTTAAGTGAATTTTTTATTAACACCTTATTTACATATGAAATGTGAAAATAAAGACAAAGTGGGAAGAGTCAGTTGACTTAAATCCTCCATAGTGAATGTAAAGTGTTCATTCATGAATTCAAAGTTAGCTTTTAGTATTTATCCCCAACACCAACTTTCTCTCATCTGATCTTCTTACTGGACATTGACTGTGTAACTAGACAGATGGGGCTCATCCAGGCTTTGCTGATGTCACTCACCTTTGTTCTTCCCAGCCAGCCTGTTCATCAGGTAGGACTTGCCTGTGCGGTAGGGGCCCACAATTGCCACCACTACTACAGGCTGTGTAATGGCAGACAGGTTCTCCAGAGCTTCTGGATTCACCACCAGGTACCCTTTAGTGTTCTCAATGAGGCACACTGGGCCTGGCATGTGGATCGCTGATGCCATGTTCACGGCGACGCCTTGTCTGCAAGGAAAAAATGAAATGGAAAGTAATGTCTGGTCAGTCAGTTAAGATGAATTCTACAATAGGGCATACATTTTTATTTTCTGTTCTTGAACATTCTTTCTTGTGCATTTTTAAGAAGACCTGTGGCCCTTTAAGGCTGTCCTATAGACTGGTCCACTAGCTGCCTTTAAAATAACTTCATTTTGAAATAGAATTACAGAAAAGATGCACAATAGGCATGAAGTGTTTCCATAAACCATTTCCCTAGCTTCTCCTAATGTTAATATTTTACATAACCATAGAACAATTACTGAAACCAGGATTTTAACATTGATACAGTAATAACTATCTACACACCGAATTCACATCTCACCAGTTTCTCACTAATATCCTCCTGCTCATGATCCAATCCAGGATCCCTCATTGTGTTTAGTCATTATGTTTCTGTGGTTTCCTTGCATCTTTGATAGTTCCTTATTCTTTTTTTATCTTTCATGTCTTTGACATTTTAGAAGAGTACTGGCCTGTGGTTTTTGAGGAATATCCCTAAATTTGGGTTTTTCTGATGTTTACTCATTGATTGAAGTTATGCTTTTTCTTTTGCAAATGTCACAGAAGTGATGCTCTGCCATTTTCAGTGTCTTATATTAATGGATTCATGATGTTGACATGACTTCTCCTGGTGCTTTGATCTTAACTTTGATCACTTGGTTAAAGTGCTTGCTGCCAGATTTCTCCACCATAAAGAGTTATGTGCCGCATTGTCACTAAAAAGTTTCCATTTTGCAGACGACATGATCATATATTTAGAATACTCCATCATCTCAGCCCAAAACCTCTTTAAGCTGATAAGCAACTTCAGCAAAGTCTCAGGATACAAAATCAATGTGCAGAAACCACAAGCTTTCCTATACAACAATAACAGACAAAGAGCCAATCATTGTTCTGAAATTCAGAGCACATATACACCATGGAATACTACACAGCCATAAAAAATGATCTAACTCCTTCACAGTAGCTATAAAGAGAATAAAATACCTAGGAATACAACTAACAAAGGAGGTAAAGGACCTCTTCAAGGAGAACTACAAACCACTGATCAAGGAAATAAGAGAGAACACAAACAGATGGGAAAATCATCCCATGCTTATGGTTAGGGAGAATCAGTATTGTGAAAATGGCCATACTCCCCAAAGTAATTTGCAGATTCAATGCTATCCCCATCAGGCTACCATCGACCTTCTTCACGGAACTGGAAAAAACCACTTTAAACTTCATATGAAACCAAAAGAGAGCTTGTATAGCCAAGACAACCCTAAGCAAACAGAACAAAGCTGGAGGCATCATGCTACCTGACTTCAAAAATTATTCTACAAGGCTAAAGTAATCAAAACAGCATGATACTGGTATCAAAACAGGGGTATAGACCAATATAACAGAACAGAGGTCTCAGAAGCAACACCACACATCTATAATCATTTAATCTTTGACAAACCTGACAAAAACAAGCAACAGGGAAAGGATTCCCTGTTCAATAAATGATGCTGGGAAAACTGGCTAGCCATGTGCAGAAAGCAGAAACTGGACCCCTTCCTTATACCTTACACTAAAATTAACTCCAAATGGATTAAAGACTTAAACATAAGACCTAACACCATAAAAACCCTAGAAGAAAACCTAGACAATACCATTCAGGACAGAGGCGTAGGAAAGGACTTCATGACTCAAACACCAAAAGCAATGGCAACAAAAGCCAAAATAGACAAACGGGATCTAATTATACTTAAATGTTTCTGTACAGCAAAAGAAACAAGCATTAGAGTGAACCAGTAACCAACAGAATGGGAAAAAATTTTTGCAATTTACCCATCTGACAAAAGGCTAATATCCAGAATCTAAAAAGAACTAAAGCAGATTTACAAGAAAAAAACAAATAAACCCATCAAAAAGTGGGCAAAGGATATGAACAGACACTTTTCAAAAGAAGACATTTATATGGCCAACAAACATATGAAAACATGCTCATCATCACTGGTCATTAGAGAAATGCAAATCAAAACCACATTGAGATACCATCTTAGGCCAATTAGAATGGCACTCATTAAAAAATCAGGAGACAGATGCTGAAGAGGGTGTGGAGAAATAGAAACAATTTTACACTGCTGTTGGGAGTGTAAATTAGTTCAACCATTGTGGAAGACAGTGTGGCGATTCCTCAAGGATTTAGAAAAAGAAATTCCATTTACCCAGCAATCCCATTACTGGGTATATACCCAAAGGATTATAAATCGTTCTGTTATAAAGACATATGCACACGTGTGTTCATTGCAGCACTGTTTACAATAGCAAAGACCTGACCAACCCAAATGCCCATCATTGATAGACTGGACAAAGAATATGTGGCACATATACACCATGGAATACTATGCAGCCATAAAAAATGACGAGTTTGTGTCCTTTGTAGGACATGGATAAATCTGGAAACCATCATTCTCAGCAAACTGACACAAAAACAGAAAACCAAACACTGCATATTCTCACTCATAGGTGGGTGTTGAACAATGTGAACAGGTGGGCACAGGGAGGGAAACATCATACACTGGGGTTGGTTGGGGAGTTGGGGGGTAGGGGAGGGAAAACAGGGAGTGGGAGGGCTGGGAAAGGAAAACACTGATGTAGAATGTAGAAATGCCTGATGTAGGCGACAGGGGGATGGAAACTGCAAACCATGATGGCATGTCTGTACCTATGCAACAACCCTGTGGGATGTGCACATGTGCCCCAGAGCTTAAAGAACAACAACAAAAAAAAAAAAAAAAAACAGAAATAAGCTTCCACTTTGAGAAACAGTTTGGAGTCTGCAGATATAATCTTATCATACTTTTGTTTTTCAGCCACTACTTTTAGTTTTTATTTATGATTCTTTTTGTGGTGTTTGACTAAAAAGGGTTTTCTACTATTATTTCTATATTTATTAACTGCAGTTGTACCATGAGCAAGGGCTATTACTTCTTTATTTTTTTGTTTGCTGATTTAATCATTTATTTGTATCAGTGCAGACTCAGAGGTATTAGTTTTATTCTGAGGGCTTCATTACTTTACTATCAATATTTATTTTGTTACTCAACTTGTCCTAGATTTCACCATTGAGAGCTTCTTCAAGCTGGATCCTAGGTTTTTTTTTTTTTTTTTTTTTTTTTTTTTTTTTTTTTTTTTTTTTTTTTTTTTTTTTTTTTTTAATGCTTCCATCATATTTTTAGTGCTTCTTTCCTTTTTGGCCGCACAGCATATTCTAGGAAAAATATCTGTATTTTTCCTGCTTTATCCCTAGAATAAAGTAACCATTTCTCCCAATGTCTTTGATTTCTTTCATTGGATAATGGTACCTTGACACCAAGGTAGCTCTCTAGGAGTGCTCATTATTTCTAGACCCACTCAAGGGCAAAGTTAAGAAATATGTGTATGAATGCTAACACATATATACACACATCTATATTTATTTTTTATCTGAACATTTCTATAATAAAGCTTGAGATTCTGTTGTTATTTCTAATTCCAATCCAACACATGTGAGCTTAGTCAATCTTTTAGCTTTCCTTTTAAACTATTTTCTCTAAATAAGCTAGACTTTGGTCTCCTAATACATAATACATTTGCTTCCTTGCTCAATCCTAGTATTTTCATATAGTAGTTTCAAAACTGGTAATAAGTCTGTGGAAAAATTAATTTACCTACTACAGAAAATTATTAGTGTACCATTCTTTTTGTCTTTAGCCTTATATACACACTCAAAACACTGCATTCCAAAGTTGTTTGGGTTAGATTTTTAATTCTCTACCCTCTTGAGTATGGTTAAATTATTCATTTGTAAAATAGTCACATTTGCTACTGCTTGTGTTTCATTGTGGCCTCCCTCACATCTTGGTATCTTGGTTGATTTTAAGTATGATTTATTTTTTGAGTTTGTGAAACATCATGGTTCTGAAATTCAAAGGTTTTCAAAAAGTTATAGTGAGAGAAGTGTCACTTTTCCTTCCTCTTAGCACTCTACTCCCATTGCGGTATTCTTCTGTTCTTTCTACCACATTCCCACCTGTCCTCCATAGATACCTAATCTTGTTAGTTTCTGGTTTACCCCTCTTGGATTTTCTTTTCACAAATGAGAATTACATATTTTCTTATTCATATTTTCTAACATGAAGATCACATCATATAGAAATTTGGAAATCCCTCCACATCTGTTCATAGAAAACTTTTAAAATCCTTTTAACATGTATCTACTCCTTTATGTGGATTATACTCCAGTTTATTCAATCACTCTTTAATATATGAGCATTTAGATTGTTTCAAATATTTTGCAATTCCAAACAACGCTGTAATGAATAATTCTGTTAACTTTGTGCATGTGTATTTTTATATAGTTACAGGAGTAATTTCAGGATAGATTCCTACCCGTGGGATTGCTTGGTCAAAAGATGAGAGTATATAATTTTTTAGATACTGCCAATTTCCTCTACAGAAAGTTGTACACGTTTGCATTCCCACCAGTTCATCCTGTATGTCATTTTCCAGAAAATGGAATTTTTCCTGGGTGTTCTACTCTCGCACTTTTGAATTAATTACAAAATTTTCTTTGGAAGCTTTTCATGTTCACATTTAGATCTTTGGACTGAGCAAAACTGAGCCTGCTGAGCTCATGTGTACAGTAATAGTAATTTTCACCTGGGGAATATTGTTTCATAACATCCCTATACTTTGAAACATAGATACCATTCTAACCCATTCTTGGTCCTGTTTTCTTCCAAGCCCCTCTGTGGACAGGGTCTGGTGAGACTGTGGGACTCACGTTACCCAAAGGCTTCTTCTCACTGTGCCTCAGCATTCACATGTCATTCATGCAAGCCTGATAGCTCACACCTGACATGTACTATGTTGATTTTTTACTCAATTATATTACCAGATTTTGAACTCTCTGAATTTTAAGATTGATTCATCATTACCTCCATGTATACCAGCCTGCATATTGTGTTTAATTATTCCATGTAATGAAGTCACACCAGGAAACATTCTTTGAAAAACCATGGCTTGTATTTTGTCTGATCTCTGCTGTATTGAGAGTAGCCTATGCACAATTGTAATCATACTATCTTTATCCAAAGCTTGATACTTTGAGTATTTTGATAATTTTTGCAAACTTAAAAGGAGTGAAAAGCCTTCCTATAGTAATGCCTCAATGCCTTAATTTTGTGTTTTCAAGTTGAATGTCTAAATCCTTGTAACTTATGTGATCATGATACAAAATATATGATCTCTTTAAGATACAAGTAAATGCATATGATAGATACTGCAGTTTTCATTCTCATCCTGTGATAAAGAGTGGTTTGCTTCCACTATAGAGTTGGTTACTTCTGACTTCTTCCAGTGGAAGCTTATATTGAATTATTTGGCTTCCCATTGCTTCGGCAGAAGATGGCAAAAACACCTTTTATTTTTCTGTGATCCTGATCCATTTCCTCCTAGAGCAGTGGCCTACAGGATCTGCTGGCAAGTAAGAAGGGAAACTAGAAACTGAAAAGAGTGAATATCTATGGAAGATGAGTGAGAATAGAGGAAGGGGTCTGTCCGATTCTGTAGCATGCACTATGCTACCATAAAATAGAAATCAACCAGAAAATGTGGTGGCACAAAGATGTTACAACCTCCTCAGTTACAATAATGTGTTGCCTCTTTTTGCAGATCCCAAGTTTCCTACCTTCATTTACCTAGAGCTATAAAAGTTGGCAATAAAGAAAGTGACAGAGTCTATTAGGCAGATATTTAAAGACAACGGTAATTTAAGATGGTGTCAGAAAAGAAATAACAATCCTAGAACATTAGTTTCTCTGAGTATCTGTTCCACCCCTACTGAAGCCTAATTCAACCCAGCAGGAATTAGAGTGCACAAAGGGACATGACATGCAGCCACCTAAGGCCAGGATTTCATCAGGACTTGTATCCTGCAGCTGGCTCAACTGGAGCCTGTCTTGGGGATGGTCAACTTAGAGAAAACTAATGAATGCTCATAAATCTTTAAATCTTTGTAAGTCCTAGTCTTACCAGAGTAGAGATCTTCTAGAGTTGGGAAGGAGGCAGCTTCAATGAGAAAGTTACGAGTCTTTGTTCTCTTCTCTTTAGTTCTGAATTTGGCTGCACTGCTTTCTCCCTGTTTTTTCTTGCTGGAACTTTGGACTTTTACCTTACCTCTCCAAAGTCATGGGGCTTTCCAGATTTTCCAATTCTTTGTTTGAGATGCCAATAATCTGGACATCCTCTACCAGTAACACATTTGGCGAGTCAGCCAGGAGGAGGTAAGACCAAAGTTTGGGATTCATTTTCTCCTTTTTCTTTCTGCTCCATACAAGGGAATCTCTCTCTCTCTCTCTCTCCCTCTCTCCCCCTCTCTATCTCTCTCTCTATCTCTCTCTCTCTCTCCCTCTCTCTCTCTTTCTCTCCATGTCTTTTCCTTTCCAACTCAGGACACTTGGTGGGCAGCACCCAAACACAAAGGCAACTGCAGGTTTCTGGCTGTGGCCAGTGAAGCTAAGGAGTTCCCAAGTGGAAGCACTTAACCGCCACTGCTGGGTTCACTTAAGGGACCAGAGGCTTCTGTTTTTTTTTTTCTCCTGTCTTTCTTTTTCAGTCTTTCAGTGACTACTTCCTAGCAGCTCCTTCAACTTCGAGGGCAACTGACTGGGGGTTACTCCCCAGTGTTGCCTGAAGGCCAATGAGTCAATGGGGATAATTGCTTTGCCTGGAAGGAGGAAGGACTCTTTTTTTTTTTTTTTTTTTTTTTTTTTCCAACTTGGGACCCTTGGTGGGCAGCGCTTAGATGCAGAGGCAACTGTAGGTTTCTGGCCAGGGCCACTCTGAAGGACTCTTTTAAATCTTTTCCAGTTGTGGTCCCTGATCCCTACAGGTGGCACATCCTGGAGTTAATGCACATATGTTTCAGGTGGCTTAAACCTTTTTTTCTTATGCTAAATTCTTCCCTTTCCCTACTCTATTGGCTAAGGACAAAAAAAAAGCTCACCCAACCTCTAATTCCTATCATTACTATGGCTATCCTTATAAAGCTCATAGTAGGCCACTGCATCTGGAGGGAAAACATGTACATGGCACTGGTGCCCACCTAAGGTCAGAGACATCTGACACTCTTAAGGTTGGACTCCACAGGGGAACACCCTGGGGATCCCCCAGACCTAAATCTCTCCAAAGGGGACACACTCTGCAGAGGTTCTGAGGTCTAGTACTAAGACATCTTTAGAATTTTCTCTTGGATTTGCGATACTGTTTGGAGTCTGGATTTTACTGTTTAATGGGAAAGTGAGATGGTGTTGGATATATCCAGACCTTTGTGCTGCTGTTCTAAGCAGGGGATCTGATTAACATGTGACACTCTCTTTTGGTGCTGTTTGGCCCCAGTGATCTTTGGAGTCCAGGGAGCTTTGACCTTTAAAAATCAAACTGCCATGGAAACTGCTGTACCCAAAATTTTGGTTCACAGCTGTTAGAAATAAACTTTTGGTGCTGCAAAAGAAATAGCACTCAAATATAAATTTTCTCAGCAAGGCAATTTACTTCTATAGAAGGATGCATCTCACGGATGGAGCAATGATGAGAGCACACCTGAACAAAAGAGGGGAAGGGTTTCTTATCTCTGACGCAGGTAGCTGTACTGTTATGTTGTTCCCCTATTGGCTAGGGTTGGACTAGACAGTCTAAGCTAATTCCAATTGGCTATTTAAAAGAGAGCAGGGTACAAGCTAGAGTATCCCTGGAGTAAGCAGTTTCGGCAGGAAAGATGGTTATGGAACAGGTGACTAAATGTGACTCAGATCAGGTCAGATGACCAGGGGTGACTCAGGATGGAGCAGGTGACCAGGAGTGACTCAGGATGGAGCAGGTGACTAGGATGAGTGAGAACTCTAAATATGTGGGTTAGGAAGGGGATGTGTGAGAGGAAAGTGCAGTTTTGGCAAGAGGAATAGGTGCAGGTAACCAGGGGAACAGATGTGAACTACTGATTAGAGCTGGCAGGAAGGTTGTTTATTGAAACTAGGGGCAAGGAGAAAAGTAAGTTAAACTTTAAAATGAAGAACAAAGAACAGGGAAACTGAAAATGTGGACATACTGATTTTTGAGGAGAAATTTAGAACTCAGTATATTTAACAACAGCCTTCATTGGATTATCTATTGGGGAAAACAAAGTAAAACCAGCAAGTTTGTATTGCTATCTCATTGCTAAGATTCCCAACAATTGGATCTTCATTTATGTGTGTGTATACATGTCTAGATATGTTTATTTGTATGTATACTTATTATTGTATGGTGTGTCTAGCAAATTGGCTTATGAGTAAAAAAGCACACATAAATTAAGTAAGTCTAAGCAATTTTCAAGTTCATGTGATTTAAGTATAACTTTGCTAAACAAGCTGGCTTTAAAATTATTAGTAGAATAAAAATAGAAATGTCTTCAGAATTGTCAGCATACGTTTTCTCTGGATTTTATGTTTGTCTTTGCTTGATATTTCGAGATGTCAGTGTCTGGCATAGAAGGTTATAAAACTATAAGCACAGCTAATGCAAGATGATCTTGGTTTGTATGCCTTCTTTTGATGAATGAGAGTAATTTATGAAAGGAAAATATCGTGGACCCCCAAAATCACCAAGCTGAAGGGAAAATTCATGCTGGGAATGCTTGGGACAAACATTCCTCCCATTCTATTTAAAGTCATTCCTCTGCTCAGTAAGATAAATGCATATCGGATTGCTTTCTTTGGAAAGGCTAATCAGAAACTCTAAAGAATAAACTCTTTGTCTTCTACCTACCTGTGACCTGGAAGCCCCTAAGCCTCCTCCCCACCTTCAGCTGTCCCACTTTTCTGGACTGAACCAATGTTCATTTTACATATGTTGATTGATGTCTCACGTTTCGCTTGTTAAAAGTGAAAGAATTGAGTACAATGAATAGGACAAATATTTTAGATAAACTTTTTGTGCAAATTAAAATCTTAAAAGTTATTTTTGATGCTCATTTAGTATATGGGCAATCCCCAATTAAGGTTGTGATATGGGGAAATCTGTTTCTAAAATTGTGGAATTGTTCTTACCTATAAATGCCTGTTATCTGATAGTTCAGTATTTCTTGCTTTTTAGGATTTCACTGAAGTTTTAGGTTACTAGGGAAAAGAATTCTAGTTAACTCATAATTCTGTAAACAAAATGTGCCTGAAAGGGTTATGCTATTAGTGAGAAAAAAAATAATTTTGTCTGATTCAGAAGTTATCCAAACGTTAGTTCAAATTACAGATTTAAAAAGGTTATGTATGAAACAATGTAGTGAGGCACCACTAAGTAGGGCAAAAAGATGTGGAAAAGTTTAAATAATAAAATATTCTTTAAAACCTGATAGAGAATTGTAGACATTTGGCTAATTAACATTTTCATAGTTAAAGCTCTTAGCCTTGATTAAATTAAAGTAATAAGTATTGTAAACAAATGTATTGGTAGTTTGGTAATTTTTTGAAGATATAGTTAAATTTCTTATTTCTTTCTGTGAATAGTTATTGTGTTTCCTATGAATTTCTAGCAAGTCATCATTTGTTCCATTTATCTGGAATTCCTAGGCTACCTCTTTTGGGCCCACAGGAATGGATGGAACACACCAGCCTTCTAACCTTAAACTAACTTTTTGGATTTTAGGCTTCCTGATACTTTAAGTGTGTTGAGTAGATTCTCATAAATAGAATTTGAGTCATATTATCTCTCTCTGCCTAATTTCCCCAAAATTTGTAAACTATTTGTGAATATTCTTAATTCACAGCAATGTGTTTGTCTGCATACAGTTGAACAGGGTTGCTAGGGCTGCTCAAGGAGAGAGAACTCAGAAACCTGACAGGCTGGCAAAAGGGCAATAATTTCTTACCAGTGAGACTCTAGCCTCTTTCTGTCTGTGCAAACTGGTTAAATGAAATGTAAAAGTCACTGTTCATCTCCCCTGTTAAACAGTATTGATTAATTAAAAAAAAGTTTTAATTAATTGATTTAATAAGAAGAGCTTAAATTAAATATTTTGTCAGAAAAGTAAATAGTGCAATACCTTTTATTTACTTCATGTGACATAAGTAATCTTTGGGAAAGAAAGATGATTTTAAAGATTATTGGTAAAATACAAATGTCTTCAAAATGTAAACATGTGCTTCAAATTATGTTCAAATATTAGGTTTGCTAAATGCTTTAAGGTCATAAACTGCTTCTTTGGCTTTGAAAATTGCCTGACTTGTCTGCTTTACAGCTAGGTAAGGACTGAGGACATGTGGAGTTGGCTGCTCCTAACTATGCTGGAAACATTCAAACCTTATCAGCACCTAGTACATAATTAACATAACTTACCATGTTTTACATTAAAATTAAAATGGCTAAGAGTCACCATTATAAGGTGTACTTGAGACTACTAAAATAGTTTTACATGCAAGGTGTGTAAGAACAATTGTGTGTGTGTGTGTGTGTGTGTGTGTGTGTGTGTGTGTGTGTGTGTGTTAAAGGTTTTAAGGAGGCATGGAAAGGTAAATTCTTGCCTATGGTTAAAGAATTGTTTTAAATTAGATAAGAAAAACTAAAAGTTCAAACAAATGGTGGAAGGTCTCTAAAAATTAATCTTGCAAAAGAAATTATCTGTGTGAACATATTGACTAAATACGGTTTTTCTGTAAACTGAACATTAAACAACAAGGTTTTCTTAAAGCAATAATCTGCTCTTTGGCAAAATTTATAAAGGGTTATAAAAGGTTTTTGCTTCTTTAAAATTTGAGTAATCATATTGGCAAAATAAATAGTTCATGGTCATCAAGAATTCTATTTCATAATATCAAGTGTTTTAAACTCTGAATATATTTAACAGCCTTCCCAAAATCAAACTTCAGTTTCAACATTGTCTTTCCTGATGGCTGGCTTTTTGGATGAATCAGGAGGCCCCTGAATCATCCAGAAAAGAGGCAAACAGGGTTATTTAACATATTTAGGTACATAGGATTGCCAGAATTATGTTCAATCTTCTTTAGGTTATACTTTTGTGAATAATGCTAATATATCTCCCAAAATTGTCTGATATTTCTAAAATTCAAATGTCTAAGTGTATGCTATCAATTACAATTGTGGTTATTATGTTAAGCTATGGTAGACCACAGAAATAACCAAATTTCCTTGTATAAAGCTACTAACCTAAATGAAACAAAAAATTAATTGAATAACCAGCTTTTGTTTTTCCTCTTGCAAATTTCTGTCACAAACATTCTTAACAGCATAGGTGTCCACCTCCTGAAGTTTAAGTTAAATCTTTTAACCAAATTCACTTCCTCTCACCTAGAGACCCTCAAGCTTCAGATGATCATGCAACAAACATTCCAGCCAGTTCCTGGTGAAGACACCACCCCTGGCCATCAAGAAACTACCCTGCCTCCACTAGACAGAGAAAGGCAAGAGTTCCATGATCCCCAGTAGGTAGGGACTACGCCCCAAGCCAGCATGAAGCAGTTACAGAAGAAAGATCCTCAGTCCCTCCACCTCCCATAAAGATTTATAGGAATTACATTTCTCAGGGAGAAAATGAGGCAGGAAAACATGATCTGGAGGAATGGAACATGAGGCCAATTCACATTTCAGCTATGACAGGAAATATTATCTTTATTTACATAGGGCTTACACAAAGTAAACAACGGAAAACTCTAGAGCGTATTTAACCCCCTCAAATTCTGTAACAGAACCTTGAGCCCCTATGCGTGGGCCCACTCCCACACTGCGGAATATATTTCATTTTCAGTAAATCTCTGCTGTTGTTGCTTCATATTTTTCTTGCTTTGTCTTGTTCTAGTTCATATTTTTCTTGCTTTGTCTTGCTTCTAGTTCTCTGTTCCAATGAGAAGATGTTTCCTGTTGAGCAGACTTATGCTATTTCTAGTAATATTAATTACTTTCATCCTGTTGTGGGACCTCTCCCATCCATGTATTGTTATTTCAATTTTTATAATTGTATTAATCCATGTTTGAATACATGATGAATTTACATAAAATGTTAAAGACATATATGATGTAGAGTTATCCTCTCATTTCTCACCTTAACTATTGAGGTTCATTCCTGGTATGACCAGGATACTAGTCTATTTTTTACTTTTTCAGAGGGAACTAAGAAGGTACACACATATTCATTAGTTCCTAAAGTAACTGTAGCATACTTTCTGCATCTTTTTTTTTTTCTAATGATATATCTTGGATACTTTCTCATACTAGTATAAATAGACCTTTTTCATTTTAGTGACTATAGAATATTCCTTTGAAATATTCCTTTGAGAGAACTGCTTGAGCCTGGGAGATTGAGACTGCAATGCACCATGTTTGTGCCACTGTATTCCAGCCTGGGTGGTAAAGTGAGACTCTACTTCAAAAAACAAAAATAAAATAAAATAAAACTATCAACAAAGTAACAGACAATCTATAAAATGGGAGAAAATGTTTGCTAACTGTGCATCCAACAACGATCTAATATCCAGAGTTTATAAGAAACTTCAACAAATTTACAAGCAATAAACAAAGAACCCCATTAAAAAGAAAGTGGGCAAAGAACATGAACGAACAGATTTCAAAATAAGACATATATGCATTTAAAAAGCATATAAAAATGCTCAACATCACTAATCACTATAGAAATGCAAATCAAAAACCACAATGTGATACCATCTCAAACCAGTCAGAATGGCTATTATGAAAAAGTCAAAAAATTACAGATGCTGTTAAGATTGAGGAGAAAATGGAACATATACACTGTTGGTGGGAGTGTAAATTAGTTCAGCCACTATGGAAAGCAGCTTGGTGATTCCTCAAATAACTTAGAATTAACATTTGACTCAGCAATCCCATTATTCCCATAGGAATGTGTATTCCCAAGGAAATATAAATCATTGTACCATAAAGCTACATGCATATGTATGTTCATTGCAGCACTATTCACAATAGCAAAGATATGGAATCAACCTAAATGCCCATTAGCAGTAGGCTGGATAATACAAATGTGGTATATACAAACACCACTGAATACTATGCAGACAAAAAAAAATGAGATCATGCCCTTTGTAGCAATATGGAAGTCATTATCATAAGCGAACTAACACAGTAACAGAATCCCAAATACCACACGTTCTCACTTCTAAATGGAAGCCAAACAAAGAGAACGCATGGATTCTAAGAGAAGAACAGGAGACACTGGTATCTACATGAGGGTGAAGGTTGGGAGGAGACAGAGAATCAGAAAAAAAACCTGTTGGGTACTATGCTTAATACTTGTGTTTTAAAATTGTCCGCACACCAAACCCCTATGACATGCAGTTTACCTGTGTAACAAACCTGCACGTGTATCCCTGAATCTAAAAGTCAAAAAAAAAATTTTTAATTGTGGTGTTGCTCCCTTCTCATTAATTTGCAAGAGTTAATTATAACTGAAATTATTTCTGTAACTATAATATAAATTGCAAATTATTAATGGCTTCTTAATCTTACCAGTTGCCTTTTTGCTTTACTCAAACCTTTTCTAGCAATAATGCCACTACTTCTGACCTGTTTCCCAGTTTTATAAATTATTAGTTCAATCAAAATTAAGTTTGTTTTTTGTGGATGTCAGACCCTGATATTCTTTGATAATCACTTTTTAATTTTAAATTTTTCTTGCATGAAACTTCTATAACACATATACTTACAAAATGATCAACAGTGTTATGTTATTAAAATAAAATAAACCTCGCTTTATATTTCCTTACCAGGAATATTCAGGCTCTTAAACCTGTGAACCAAGACATTTCATCCCTACTCCAAATAGCTTAGCAGCCCCAGGTAGAGCTAGAATCATCATATTGCCAGCTGTGTCAAGGATCCTTGAAAGCACTGAGGGTTCTTCATTTTTGGCTGATTCAATCTCTTCTTTCAGTCGATTAATCTCTTTATTTAACTCCTCAGATTTCTTTTCAAATCCTTCAATAAGCATTTCTTTTTGTACCTATGAAAGGGGAATAGTCCACGTTTGAAAATCCCCAATTCTCTGCAGGGAGTGAGAGTTTTGTGTTTAACAAATTCAACAGTTACGCATATGTGTCTATTTCTCTATTATCTTAGAAAACTCTTTGATGAGTTCGTCTAACATTTCCAGGTGGTTGGACCTGAATAGTGGGAGTATATATGGTTTATACCTTTGTGACATTCCTTAAGCAACATCTCACTGGAGGTGGGAAGAAATTTTGTTCCAGCACAAAGAATGCCCTTTGAGAGGGAATGCAGGTTTAATTCTAATTAATTCTAATTTCCACTGATGTAGCATGGCCATGCTCATCTAGAAAATAATAGGGTCTGCTGACCCTGTATAAAACATTGGTTGTCAAGCTCCAGGCTGGTACAAGGAATGTATTTTACTCTAGTTGTATAGGATGAATCAGGCAGATACAGAAACAAATGGAGCAATTACTGATCTTTCAATATCATTTTTTATCAAGCCAAATCTGAAATTTTCATCCAGATTGATCTATTTCAGGTATTTGAGGGTTGTGCCCCAAATCCCAAGGATTGGTGGACTCAGGTCCTATTTACTTGGGGGACAGTAAGACCATCCTATAATCACCACAAACAGCAGCCTGATACCCTGGGGGATGTCATGTGTACTCTCCAAAGTCTAACATGAAGAAGATGCTGGAGTCTTGTAGACTTTCAGGCTTCAGTACAATTCAGATGTGTTTGAGATTTTAGTGAAACATACAACTTTTGTGTTTCCTTCTGAGATCATCCCTGTGCCTAAAATTTTGGTCCTTCCTTTCCTAAAGAAGCAAGGCATTGGCCCTCAAGCACTGCCATGCTTCATTGAGACTCACCTTCAGCTTGTGTTCCAGCATCCTTTCATGCTCTCGGAGGAGGTTTTCCCTTTCCTTCTCCATCTTCTTCTCCAGTTGGGCTATATTTTCCTGGAAGCTTCTCTGTTGAGCCTCCATTATTTGCTGCTGCTCCTTCTGTTTTTGTCTTAGCAACTCCTGTTCCTTTTCAGCTGCCTCCCTCATGGACCGCTCCGCTATTCCACAAAGGTTTTAGAGAGGGAAGAAAATGACAGTTTTGCCTGAGTTTTACCCTCCTGAGCTCAGATCAAACTGACTTAGAGAAAAGCACAAAAGTGAGGGATTGGGAATCTCTGAATTCTCCCACTAGCCATGTCTGGAAGAGAATGTCGAATAATGTGATGTGAAGACACTGGCTGGAGGTTCAACCCCAATCCCCTTGAGATTTTGGGATTTAGCAGAGTATATGTTCCATAGTAGGAAGAAGCTCCTTACATCTATAGTAAGAGAAAGCAAATTCCAAGTATACAATAATTTTTTAACTATAGTCGCTATGCTATACATTTGGTATGCAGAACTTATTAATATTTTAACGGAATGTTTATGACTTTTGAAGCTCCTTGTATCCAGAATATCTTTCGGTGTGATCAGCAAGAAGGCACTGCAGTAAACTACCAATCCCTCTGAGAGCCCTGCCCCTGTACCTGCTATGGCCTTCTCTCCAGCAGTGAGGGCTCTGTCTGACTGCAGGATGGATTCCTCTACAACCACCTGTGACTGCAGGAAATCCCAGAGGACCTTGTCTGCCTGAGGAGCCAAGAAAGAACAAAGACCTGTCAGGCAGCAAAGATCTCAACTTATGATGACGAAATTATTGTTCAATAAAGTCACAAATCTAACCTTGTAAACTTTGCATAGTTCTTAAGATCCCACAGTTATTTCTTTTCTTCCACAGCCACAACAAAAAGTCCAAGCTCTTTCTTAAGACATAAAAACCATGTGCAGCAGCCCCCCTCCTACCTGTCCAGCTTCCTTTCCCAGGGATGCTGCTCACCACCCACCCCAGGATACGGACAACCTGACAACATAAATGGGCAATTCTACAAACACACATTCTCAGTTGTTTGCAGTATTGCACAATCTTTTTCTTCTGTTTGGAAGCTCTGCTACATTTTCATGACGAGGATAACCTTTATGGATACATCAACTAGCATTCCCAGTCACTCTTCCTGGAAGCTTTTTCAGGGTGCATTCTGAGTTTTGTCTCTTATTTTACTGAGGAATTATTTACAAATGGAAATTGTGTATATTTAAGTTGTACAGCATGATATTTTGATATATGTGAAATGGTTACTGCAGCCAAGTCAATTAACCTATCTATCATCTCATAGAGTTTTCTTTTGTTGAGAACACCTGAGATCTACTCTCTTAGCAAATTCCAAGTATAATTCTTTTTTTAGCTATAGTCACTATGCTGTACTTAGGTATCCAGAAAGTGTTTATTATAACTGAATATTAGTTACTTTCAATCATTATTTTCCCTTTTCCCCCACCTCTCTGACCTTGATAACCACCATTCAGCTCTCTGTTAACATGAGTTCAGCATTTTTTTTCTCACATAAACATGAGTCACTCCATATTTGTCTTTCTGAGTCTGGCTTATTTCACTAAGTCTAAATTCCTGCAGGTTCATTGATATTTCCACAAATGTCAGGATTTCCTTCTTTTTAAGGCTGAATAACATTTTATTATATATGTATGTATACACATACATATGTATATTTGTGTATGTCACATTTTTACATGTATTTATCTGTGGATAAACAAAAGTTGTTTTTATGGAGGCATAGGGGAGGGAAAGTGGGGGGTAGGGAAGTTGGGGAGGGATAACATAGGGATAAATGCCGGATATAGATGACGGGGGGATGGAGGCAGCAAACCACATTGCCATGAATGTACCTATGCAACAATCCTGCATGTTCTGCACAGGTACCCCAGAACCTAAAGTGCAATAATATATATATATACACACACATATATATATATAAAGTTGTTTTTATATCTTGCTATTATGAACAATGCTGGAATGAATAGGAGTACAAATCTCTCTTCAGGATTGTGATTTTATTTCTTTTGAAAACATACCACAAGTCCATCAAAAGCTGTTAAAACTAAGTTGGCTAAAGTTGCAGGATACAAATTTAACATACAAAATCAGTTGCATTTCTATATACTAATAAAATATTATATGAAAAATAAGAAAATTACATTTATAACAGCATAAGAAATAAAATTCTTATAAATAAATTTAACCAAGGGGGTGAAAGATGTATATACTGAAAACTATAAAATGTTGAAGAAGTTAAAGAAAATATAAAATAAATAGATATCCCATGTTCATTAGTTGGAAGAAATAATATTGTTAAGATGTCCATACTACCCCAAATTATCTATGGATTTAATGCAGTATCTATCAAATTTCCAGTGAATTTTTCAAAGAAATAAGAAAACCAATTCTAAAATTTATATAGAAACAAAAAAGATCCTGAATAGTCACAGCCATCTTGAGTGACAAAAACAAAGTTGGAAGTGTTGAATTACCTTATTTCATAATCTACTGCAAAGCTACAGTAATGAAGTAGCATAGTACTGGCGTAAAAACAGGTAAACAAACCAACAAAACAGAATAGACAGCCAGGGAAGAAATTTACACATATATGATCAAATAATTTTCAACAAATGTGACAAGAGTACACATAAAGAAAGGATAGTCTCTTTGACAAATGGTGCAGGGAAAACTGGATATTCAAAATAATAAAACTGGACCCTTATCTTACACTATACAGAAAAATCAACTAAAAATAGATTAAAGATTTAACCGTAAGATCATAAAACTCCAAGAAGAAAACAGAAGGAAAATACTTCTTAATATTGGCCTCGGCAGCAGTTTTTTGAATTTGACATCAAAAACACAGGCAACAAGTGCAAAAATAAGTAGGACTACATCAAACTAAAAATTTCTGCAGAGCAAAGAAAACAATAAAATGTAAAAGAATTTTCTTCCATGCAGAATGGAAGAAAACACTTGCAAATCTGATAAGGGGTTAACATCTAAAATACAAAAGTCATATAACTAAATAGCAAAATAAACCAGTAAACCTATTAAAAATGAGCAAGGAACCTAAATAGACATTTGTAAAAAGAAGACCTGGACAACAGGTATGTGAAAGCATAGTCAGCATCACTAACCATCAGGGAAATGCAAATCAAAACCACAGTGACATTTTCTCTCACACGTTTTAGAATGATCATTATCCAAAAGTCAAAAGATACCAAATGTTGGCAAAGATATGGAGAAAAGGGAATTCTTAGAAACGGTTGGTAGGAACATAAGTTGGTATAGTCCTCATGGAACACAGGACAAAAGTTTCCTCAAAATTTCCAATGGCTGTCGAGTACATAAGTCAGCCCTATCAGCTCCATCACTTGCTGGCTGCATTGTCCTAGGCACCTTATTAACCTCTCTGTGCATTACATTTCTCAACAGGCTCTGTGGAAGACAGTGGTACCTAATTTACATTATTCTGAGAATCAAACCGATAATCCAACAAAATCACTTCCTCTGACATAGGAAGCGAATGCTCAGTGTGTGTGAACCATTCTGTTGATCATCATCATCATGATGACCATCATCATCATATTAGTACATACCAGTATGATAACCATAATGGTACCATAGCCAGTCGAGTATTAATTTGTTCATCTCGGGTAAGACAATATGCTTCGGAAAACAAAGTTGTTTGCTTCATAAGGTATCCTCTGTACTTAGCACAAAAACTATCCCATTAATTAATAAATATAAGTGAGTTGTTTCATCTGGATTCCTGATGTTAAATCCTCTTGGAGAGGAAATGTTTCTTTAAGAGTATCTAACTAATTGTGGATTTAAATACTAAAAATGCCAAGATAGCATCACGTTCTGCTTCTTTTCCACACGCAGCGCTATGTTCTTAGATTTTCAGAAGGGGCAACAAAGACCCTCTGACTATCTTCTGTTATTCATCCCCCACCCCCCTTATTCCTCACCTTAACTCCTTTGCAGGGCACTAGCTTATAGTTCTGCTCAACCTGTTTCTTTTCTTCTAAGTAGAGATTGTGCCCTCCAGGAACAGAGAAAATTCCTCTCAAAATGCTTTCTGTCAGGTGCTCTGAAAGCCGCTTAAGCTCAGCCTGGCAATATTTGACAGATGCCTCTTCATTCTGCAGCACAAAGTCTTCCTTCTTTTTCTCTATGGTGTCCTGCCAGAGAAAGGTAGGGAAAAACAGTAGAAAGAAGGTGTTAGAAAGGAAGGTCCAACTGCGATCCTCTTGGAAGGAGTAGTCTGAAGGCCTCAGAGTGAACTGGAATATGGTGTAGACCAAAAGTCAGAAGATTTGTTTTGTTCCCAAATATCTGATCATTTATCTGTGTGGCCTGTGGAAAGCCAGGGGTCAGGCACAATATCTGCAAATTTGTGTAGTTAGAAGTCATAAACTCTATAGCTCTTTTAGTTATGGTATGATTAACAGGGACCAAACCTCCCAACCATGATCAGTAAAAAGTTGAATTTTGGCTGGAAGTAAAATTTCCCCAGAAAACATAGATTGCTACGTATAAAAATATGGGCATGGAAAATCAACTCCACAGTAATGAATTAAGTATATTCTGATGAGAAAAATGAACTACCTGTGTATTCCTTCAATAAGAGTTTGAATATGTGAGGATACAGGAACAGGATTTTCTTTTATTTGTCCTTGTAAGTTACAGTCCAGTTGGATTTTATCATTATGAATTAAGAGATTATTGTTACTTTTAGGTTAGTCTGAGACAGACCGAAAGACAAACTTTCAGTAAACATGCCTATGGTAAAGAGATTTAAGATGTCCCATAAGATTTCTCACTCCTTGGTATCCACACCTGCATAGTTCCTGGGCCTATTAATGTGATAGATACCAACCCTGTGATTAGATTATGTTATGTAGGACAAGATGACTTTAAGAAATGGAGTGTGCCCTGTTGGGCATGACTTAATCACATGAGCCCCTTAAAAGTGGTTTTCTCTAGATGGTGTGAGAAGAGGAATTCAGGGCAATTAGAAACAGAAGGATTTGATGCATCATTGCTGAGCCGCTAAATGAAATCTAAGCCCATTTAACACTGTATTCGGTCTGTGGCACACTGAACAGAGTACCCAGACACCCTGACAAGGACTTCTGACCTACAGAACTATGATCTAATAACGTGTGCTGTTTTAAGCTGCTAAACTCATGATAATTTATTTTTCAGGAATAGAAAAAAAAGTGACCATCCTCTAGAAGAAGTGTGGCCTCTAGCCCATAGAGCCCTATTATTCACAAGAAACCACATTCTTTCCACAATGGTAAGGAGATGAACCCTGGGGTCAAAAGGGTGGACTTTACGCATTATTTGGGAAGAGCTGAAATCAGGAAGGATAAATGCTAAAAGTACCACAAGCTTCCTCTGGAATTCCTGGTTTTCATCCTTGAAGGAGTGCTCCATGAAGACTGCAATGGCTTCCCTCTCACAGGCAGCGTGCACATCCAGCAGCTCCTGGAGCGTGTCTGTGGGGAACCTCACCCGCTGGGCCATCTGCTGACTGTAGTGGTCGGCTGCCCTCTGCACAGCTGCTGAGTTCTCCCGCTGGGCCAGAGTTGTCACTGCATTCTCCAGACAAGGCACTCCTCCACTGTTGATGGCATCTACATAAGTCACTGCCAGAGTCCCCAGCCCTGAATCACATATATTTAAGGAAAATTTATAGTTCTCACTCATTATTTATACAAGTTTTAGGTATCAGCATTCTAAAAATTACAAAAATTCGAGTTATCTTGACCTTTTTTCCCCCTCCTTTTCTTTATTCTTTCTCTCCTTCTTTTTCATCTTCCTCTATGAGTTCCTTGAGGAATTTATAATAACATCTCTATTTTTCCTATTTTCTGTTTTATATGGCTCTTGGATTCACATTACAAAATTAATTACTCATTGCAACCAACATGTCTTCGTGTTTTATGGAAAAGTACATTTCCATTTGGATGCCATATAAATGAGTTTGTTATGCAGGAAAACTAAGTTATATAATTTGTGAGTCCTACTTCCAAATAAAAATGCAAGTCCCCTCATTTCATCAGATATTCTTTACAAGGGAACTTGCATTTTTATTTGGAGACAGCAATTTTTATTTGAAGACAGCAACATAGACTATTGAATCAAGCATAGACCCATCTCACCATGAGGAGTGGATGACTCCACAGGTTTCATGCCATGAAGCCAGCCCCATACTTAATATAACATTTAAATTTGTTTCTCTAACTCTCAATGAGCTTGCATGGAACTCATGGCCTGATGTTGATTTCTTGACTAATGTCAATTTATAAAATATATTATATATCCTCACTGAGAAACACTAACCCTATAGGACTTCTCCTCATCATGTAGATTTCTCTCCTCAGAAGTTTGTGTTTACCTCATTAGTGTATTAATTCTGTGAGATATATTAGGCCTCAAGAAATTCTCATATGAGTAAACTTTAATTAAGAAACATTCATTTCTATGTGTGGCACGGTCTGCCTGCATTCCTATACAGAAGTAAACAATATTATTGACAAACTTGCAGAATCACGAGAGCTTCAACACACCCTGGACCACAGACATGCTCTGCAACAAAGAAGACTCACGGTTTCCAGTGACAATGATTCCCTCTCTCAGGGTCTTGGGCTTTGCATGGGTGAAGATATAAGAACAGAAGTTTTCTGATTGCCTCAGGAAAAGCCTTTCCATATTTTCTTCTGGCAATTTGTCCATATGAATTAAATATTGTTTGTCATTTGTAGGCCGGTCAAAGACAAAGCACTTCCGTTTTGGAAAGAAATGCCTGATACACTCTCTAGGCATGTTAGAATTTTGAAGCTTGGGATTCTTGCCTGTGGAATTATAAAAAAGAAAGCTCATTGAAGAGACAGCCTGCAGTCAAGGGGGCTGAGGACTTTTCCAGGGATCTTTGCATCCCTGCAGCTCCTCTGCCTTGTAAATTTTGTTGTATGCCATCATACAAAGCAGCCTTGTGCTAATCCAACCAAGGCATGGAAAATCCATTTTTGTACAGGACCGAGAGTCAGGAAAGAACTGCAGAGGAAGGGAAGACATCTAACACAAGATGAAGAAACTTATGACTGGTTTCCTTGGCCTTTGTATGGTAGCTGGTAGACTATTTATTAAATGTTTTTGAATGATTAACTAAATAAAAAATTTGTCAGAAATATTTTATTGATATTACATTCCTGTGTCAGAAGTGAAACATGGGCCCTAAATTGAAATAAGGATAAGATGTTGCTAAGAAGAATATCATGAAGAAGGTGAATGATCACCAACACAGTAATAAAAGTAAAAAATATTTCAAAATCAGAACCCTAAATTATAAACACCATAAATATGTTTAGACACTTCTTTATCTGAACAATCTAAAGTTAATCCAGATGTAACTTGGAGACCTTGCCACTTTTCAATGTCAGATTATATTAGGTCTGACATTGTCTTGCAGAGGGATTCTGGGGCATATATAGATTATTCAAAATAAACTTTTGTTGAAAGGATGAATAAGTGAACAAAGATGGATATTGATTGTAGGTGCCAACCAGCATTCACTCTGCTAAATACCATCTGTTTAACAAATTTATAATAGATTGACAACATATTATATGAGGCTGTAGAATGAAGTAGGTGATGTTATGAAAACAGTAAAATGAAGGATTTGACAGTCTTACTGGAAGCATATGTCAGTGTATTTTTTAAATTTTCTGAATCATTTACTGTATAAATCTCCTTTTTCTCTAAAGAATATAACTACCCAGGCTAATAAAACAGACAGCATGAAATGTATTTCCAAAATTAGATCATTTGGCTTCTTGTGATTCTGTGTTTACCAACTTCCAATTTATTAATTTTCTCCAAATAGAATAGAAGGAACACTTGAAGTTAATAAGTAACACAAATACATAAGTCTTAGGATGTGATAATATTAATTGTAATCCTCAATATATTTTTCATGGTACTTATTGGTCTAAAATTGTTTGATAGAATTTTGAGTTTTAAACTTCTTCAATGAATTGAAACTTCAGCCTCTGGGAAATTTCAAGTAAAAATAACCACAAGAATCATAATCACTTGTCAATCACCAACCACCACGAGCATGGGCCTCAATCCAGTCTAATATAAACATTTGTGTCAGGTGCTGAATGGCAGGTCTTAGTTGATCCCATCCACTGCTGAACATTCCCCCATCTGGGACGTGCTCTGATACCTGGAATCAGCTTCAAGGCATTCTCCAGGTACTCATCTTCTGTGATGGGGTGTCCATTTAACTTCAGCTCCAGGGTAAAATCTCGAACAGCCCAAATAAAGTCTGGAAAGAAACTCACAAACTCGCTGGAGTCCTCAACTTCATCAGTCCTGGGGCAGGATTTTGCCCTGATTAGCTGTGTTAGTTGAGTCACGTAGCTGGGATCTTAGCTAAGGAGTAACACCCTATACCATTATTTCAACATCTCACTTAGAAACAAGTTTTATAAACATTCCCTTTTGCACTGTGTCTCTTCTTACTCAACCAGGACAACTGGGTCACAGCAAAGAAGACACAGTATCAGTTTCCATTCCCCTAAATGCCATAAAACCTGGCTTTTCTCTTCCCGGAAGGATACTGCAGCTGCTCCAGAGCCTGGTGGTTGATGGTGCTCATGCTGTTGTAGACAAAGCAGCTGCTTAGAAGCACAGCCAGGGCAAAGATCCATGAGTCATTCTTAGGGTTACCCTAGAAAGAATATAGAGCAAAGGACTTGGAGTATTCTCTTCATTCATTCATTCATTCATTTGGTTGTTCAAAACTAGGAAAAATAAATTTTGAAGGCAATGTTAAATTCAAACTTCATATTTAGATTTTACATTAATCCTTCTCAGGCTGTAAGCTCATTTAGCTACCAACAGAAATTAATTACATTGTGATTAAAATATTCAATAAAGTGCCTAGAATATAATAGGTGTCAAGTGATCAGCATGCAATTATTCCATTGCAATTTTGTCCTCACTTGTGGCATATTAAGGTCTCAAATGCTATTCAGTTAAGTTAAAAAACTATTCATTGTGCTTCTGACAAAATGCAGACACTGCATTTGGTTTTGTGGATATAAAGTTCATGACAGTCCCTGCCCTCAAGAAGATGACTTTCTGGAGCAACAGATAAACATGTCAATATACAAATTCAATCAGAATAATAATCGCTGCTGGGGGAGTAAACCCCAAAGTTACAAAGTATAAGAAAGACAGAAAGGAGGAGGAGGCACATAAATATGAATAGTTACTCTGTGGATTCAGGAGCAAGAACTGATTATGTGTGGCAGGCACATGCTTGCAGCAGTTTGAAAATAGCTGCACTTCAAAAGTTGATAGAGTGTGGACTTGTGAAGAAGAAGGAATAACGCAGATGGAAAGATCAACAGAAGCCAAGTCAGAATTGTCAGAGCATGGTCATAAAAAGGTATTACACAGTTATTTCTCTGGCTTGAAGCAGTAAGTATGCATGCTGGAGTGGAAGAGGAGGCTGGAAACAAGATTCATGGTAAGACATTAAAGGATCGTGTGTGTGTGTGTGAACTTCTTTTTTGTATTACACTTTAAGTTCTGGGGTACATGTGCAGAACGTGCAGGTTTGTTACATAGGTATACAGGTGCCATGGTGATTTGCTGCACCCATCACCCCCTCATCTACATTAGGTATTTCTCCTAATGTTATCCCTCCCCTATATTCTCACCCTCTGCTATTCCTCCCATAGCTCCCCACCCCGCAACAGACTCCAGTATATGATGTTCACATCCCTGTGTCCATATGTTCTCAAACATGTGGTGTTTGGTTTTCTGGTCTTGTGTCAGTTTGCTGAGAATGATCATGTCCTTGCAAAGCACATGAACTCGTCCTTTTTTTATGGCTGCATAGTATTTCATGGTGTATATGTGCCACATTTTCTTTATCCAGTCTATCATTGATGGGCATTTGGGTTGGTTCCAAGTCTTTGCTATTGTGAACACTGCCACAATAAAGACACGTGTGCATGTGTTTTTATAATAGAACGATTTGTAATCCTTTGGGTGTATACCCAGTAATGGGATTGCTGGGTCAAATGGTATTTCTATTTCTAGATCCTTGAGGAATCACCACACTCTCTTCCACAATGGTTGAACTAGTTTACACTCCCACCAATTAGATGGTACCCAAATCACATCACAAGTTCTAAGGTCAGCGAGTAGTTCTGCTGCTGCCATCAGTTTATATTTTGATACGTTCTGATCTCTTGACAAATGCAACTACATAAAAAGAAGTTTATGAAAACTATAGTATATTAAGAATAAATGTTTCACTTTGGTATTATACTAAGAATAATTCAGACTTTTAATCTTGAAATTTAAAGTTCATATTGCTAAGTCTGTGCTTCCTTCCCCCAACTTCTATGCTTTTTTTCAATAATGGAAGCCAAAGATCTACTGCTGCTACTTTTAATTCAGACTGAGACTAATTCAAATAAGGAGAATTGACAGATTGCACCTAACACTTTAAGACAACATAACTAAAATTATCTCACTTACAATATTCTTTGTGGGTCTAATTCATGCTATTAAAGAAGTCCATGCAGAATTCATCTCCAAAGTTCAGGGAGTTGGACCAAAATGTTAATGATAAAATTAATGCTTTTCTGAAAATTACTGAAATAGACTCCTTCAGTAAAACCCTATTTTTATATGGTCCCTTCCTCCAACCCCACGTCTTAAATAGTAGATCCCATCAGTCCCAGGGGTTATAGCTTTCTCCAAGAAGCTTTCTCTTAGTTGAATGACTGAACTAGTTTCTCATTTTTTGCATCTGAAACTCTGTACCGATCACACCCTATATTTCTCGTCTTCACATTTAGGCTCTTGGCCTTTACCTTGTTTACTGTCATATCTGTAGAACTCAGTACACAGCCCTAGAATTCATCTCTTCAATACATATTTCTTAAATTATATCATTCAACCCAGTGTTAAATAAGATCTATTCTTATATATGCCTCAGTATTTGAAATTAATAAGGAAGTTTTAGAAAACAGAATTTAGCTTCATTATTCATAATTAGATTCAAGTCTACAGAAATATGTACAGAAGTTGAATGGAGCTGAAAAATTAAAAGATAAGAGGACAACCATGAGCAGTGAAGATTCTCTGCCTTACCTTTTCCACATCGCCCAGGCCCTCAGTGTCCAGAAGGATCAGGGTGTAGTTTGGCTTGGTAGGGTGGGGCACACACCACATCCAGATGCCCTTGGTTTCAGACTGCACGGTGGAGCCCAGAGGGAAGCCTGCGGCGAAGAGGAAAAATAACAAACAGTAACAGTGGATAGACCAGGATGTCCCAGGCTTACATTGGTTAAACTTGTAGAAATGTTTAAGTGGCTGGCAGTGGAAAACCGCTGTTTCCATCTCAGCCAGGACAACTAATCCAATCTTTACATGTATTAAGAATTTTCTCAAACTTGTTTTCTTTCTTAAACTTGTTTAGTAGACAGAGGTTCAGTCCCTAATGGTGCCGAGCTTCTGAGCCAAAGAGCAAGTAGGTCATTAGGGGGAAGAAATGCTGCAGGGTCTCTAAAAACAGGAGCACCTAACAGAGTCATAGGCAGATTGTGTTAAAAGTCAATAAGAACCAAAAGAGAAACCTGGTATCAAAAAATTTTTTAAAAAGCCTTCAAAAAATTAGAAATGAAAATTGCAACGAATATGTGAAAAGGTGCTTAAACTTACAGTGAAATAAATAACATGCGAAATAAACAACGTGTAACAATACATTCAACATGTCAGTACAAGTTAAAAGGCTTTATGTCATTGAATTTCTTGCAGGATGTAAAATTCTCAATCACTGCCAATAAGCATCTAAATTGCATTTAAATTTTGAAAAGCTGGCCAGGCACAGTGGCTTACGCCTGTAATCCCAGCACTTTGGGAGGCCGAGGCGGGCGGATCACGAGGTCAAGAGATCGAGAACATCCTGGCCAACATGGTGAAATCCTGTCTCTACTAAAAAATACAAAAATTAGCTGGGCGTGGTGGCACCCACCTGTTGTACCAGCTACTCGGGGGGCTGAGGCAGGACCCTCACTTGCTTGAACACGGGAGCAGAGATTGTAGTGAGCGGAGATCGCGCCACTGCACTCCAGCCTGGTGCCTGGTGACAGAGCGAGACTCTGTCTCCAAAAAAAATTTTTTTTGAAAAGCTATTTGACTTTATCTAGAAATTTTACCTACTCTCTGATTCAGAAATTCCACTTCTGAGCATATTACACAAGGGAAGCTTTAATATATACATATAAATGTATAAACATATAAATAATAGAGTATTAATAATACTTATTTATATATTCATTAATGACAATTAATATTCATTAATATTCTATTAGTATTCATTAATGACAATGAATAAGGTTATCATTAATACTCTTAATTTCTTCTATTATTATTAATATATAATATATAGTATATATTATATCTATTAATAATAATATATAATATATAGTATATAATATCTATTATTGTTAATAGAGGAAATAAATAATAGAGTATTAATGATAATATATACTATATAATATATAGTATATATTATATCTCTATTATTATTATTAATAAGAGGATATAAATAATAGAGTATTAATGACAACTTTATTCATTAAAGATAAAAATTGGAAAAATACCAATGTTCAACAGGATATAAACATAAGTAACAGAGTATTAATGGATATAAATAATAGAGTATTAATGACAGTCTTAAAAATAAAAACTGGAAAAATATCAATGATCAACAACAAACAAATATATTGTCCTTAAGTAGTGACATACTGTCCGAGGGTATAAAAATGGGTACACATGGTAACTGGAGAAACCTTACACACTTCTTATTGAGCAAAGGAACAAGACATCCAAGAATACACACAATATAAATTCCTTTATGTAAAGTTTAAAAGCAGACCAAACTAAACTATTTTTCAGAATGCATATATATTACACAGAACCATTTTTAAAAACCAAGAGTCAAAGAAATGTGCCCTGAAAACAAAAATATTGGTGAGCTCTAGAGAAGGTATGACAGTGTATGATTTTTGGATGTTTAGGAATGTTTTATTTCTTGATCTGAATAGTGATTACCCACGTATTCACTTTATTAACTTCACTGTACAAGTATGCTGTACGTACTCTGTCATAGTTCACATACTAGAAAGACTAAATAGAAGGGAGTATAACTTGTCAAAGTTTTGCTACAAAATGAAGCAAGAAATTGGATGGTAGCCCAATTTAAATAGAGGACACGCAAGAATTATACTGCCTGTCCTTCTTATTTATTTTTAAAACAGGGTATATTAAACTATGTTTGTGTGCTATTTGAAGTGACCAGGTACCCTACACAAAAGTGATGAATAAGAAAGAAAGGGAATAATTGCTGGAGCTGAGCCCCCGAAGAGGTGAGCGTAGATGGGATCAAAAAGACCCATGGAATGGATCTTTTGATAGGGTTGAGATGGTTCTTTACTATTGGACAAAAGACATATATATACACATATGGTTGAGATTTTAAATTTAATGGTGAGAGAATTAGAAGTTTTCTTCATTGGGAGAAGTCATGCTCTTCTTTAGGATGACCCTAGAGGAGGCGATCAGCCATGTTATCACTGGTTCCAAGTAAATGGCTCCTGTCCCAGGGCCACACTCACCATGGTTTTTTCCTGCAAGACGATTCATGAGATAGGATTTTCCTGTACGGTATATCCCTACAATGGCCACCACCACCACCGGCTGAGAAATCTTGTCGAGAATCTGTAATGCCTTTGAATTTACTGTCAGCTGCTCTTTCTGGTTTTCCACTAGACAAATGGGGGCCATCATGATGGATTCAGATTCTGGGTAACCTGTAACCCAGAAAAAAAAAACAGTAAAATACAAGATCTTGAAGTCATCTGTAAAGGCTACCCAAGGCACATACAGATCAGTTTTCTGCTTGTGGGATGGTATATCAAATTTCTACATTTTGTATGTTTCTAATGGAAAAATATTTAGTTTAGCATGTCAAGGACTAGTACAGATGTTTTATGTACATTATTTATGATTCTTACAAGAACGCTAAAAATGCGCTGTCAAGGTGATGCATAAAATAGAATAGGAAAATCAAGGCACTGATGACAGAGCCCCAAGTAAGGTAAACTCTTGGAATAAGTAGGGGCAGGATGTTACATACAGGAGATGAGTGGTTAGAAAAGGTTCCAGGCATTCCAGAAGAATTTGCTCTCTCATTAATTTAATAAATAGTATTGAGTACCTACCATGTGCTAATAAACACCATTTTAAGTTCTCAGTATCAAGCAAGGAACAGAATTGATACAAAATCCTGCCTCTTTGAGCTCTATCGTAGTGGGGGACAGAAAATTAATAAAACAAACAAGCAAAAAAAGTGTAAATGTATACTAGATGATGATATTTCTCAGGAGAAAATGAGCAGGGAAAAGGGATATGGTGTTTTGGGATTTGAATGTATGTTAAGGGTGGTCAGGAAGGCCTTCGAAAAGACATAAAATGAAACTGATCATTGATTCATATTGATGAAGATGGATTTAGTGAATTGGTAAAAGCAGGAGCAGGCTGGATAGGGGAACAATCATAAAAGAAGGAAAAAGAGATAAAGAATGTAGCTCTCTCTCAAAATACAGGACAGTTATCTGGAGTGATGATTAAAAATGCCTGGGACCCTGTTTCAAGCAGTACCTCATGTTATTCTGATGTACCTCTGGCCACATGGGCCACAGCATGATAATCAAACATGATTAAACCTTAAACTAATTTTAAACAGTTGATGAGTGAGAGTGATCTGAAATTCCACATAATGCACCTCTGTAGCATCGCTGGAATGCTAAATGTGGCTCATACAAAAATAGAGTCATAACTATTAAGGATTTAAATAGACAGTGGCAAGGATCTTCTGTTTCCCCAGTGTCCCGGCAGGGGGCAGCCGGGAAACGCCAGAGAACGGCAGAGGGAGGAAGCGACCCCATGATTCGGGGAGCAAGGACTTCAGGCCCCATTCCTCCGTGACCCAAGCAGGGATCTTCGCCGCAGCTCTGGGAGGAAGCCCGAGGAGGAGCAGCGCATCCTGGAGACGCCGTCGCCCAGTCGCCGCCTGAGGACCACGTGGAGACACTGAGCCCCCCGGGGCAAAGCACTCAGGGGTTCAAGGAGCAACCGACTTCCCCGAGAGGTCCCCCCGCTGCCTTCGTCACCCGCCAGTGTGAAGTCTCTACCCTCCCCGTGTGGAGTCTGCGCTTGGGAATTCGTTGTTGATTGTTCTTTAACCCAATATACTTGAAAGGCAAAGCTTAGGAGCGAACTTACGTGTCGCGGACGCTGCAACGTGAAGAGCTGCGCTTGCTCTCCCCTTGCTCTGTCCTCCTGTGTCTGGCTCCTCGTGAAACGGACTGTTTTTACAAGCCGAAAGCATAGCCGGGATTACAGACATCCAAATAAGGGTTTCGGAAAACCGAAATCGAAAGCACTTGAGTTTGGCGGGGAGTTAAACCGTTGAGATATTTTCCTGTTTTGGCAAGACAGGAAACTAAAGGAGCTTGGAAGTGCTGGTACCTACATACCAGGCTCCTAAAACCCAGGTTTGACCCTCTTCCACCCTTGGCTTAGGTATCTTTCGCCTCCAAAATGAATATAGAGCAGCAGACATGAATGTTGTTTCATCTACTCCCTGTCTTTCAGGGGTAATTTTCTCAGGGAAGAAGTTTGAGGTTTTGTTTGCTTTTAATTTTTTTTTTTTTTTACATGCTCATCTGGTTTTGTTTCTCATCTCTTTTTAAAGTTATTTTTTCGTTAACCATAAAATGAGTGTGTGTGTGTGTGTGTGTGTCTGTGGATATGTGTGTATCGCCTAATATTATTGCCCGGATGCAGTGGTGGCAAGCAAATACTTCTCTCTCAAAGCACAAACATTTCATCGAAACTGGACTTTTTGTGAAGGACAGCAGGATGATTGAACCATACAAAGCATAATTTATAATTAAGAGTCTTACCCAGGCTAGCAGAAAAATGGACTCAGTCCTGAAATGACTAGCCAGTTTGTCAACAGAATTTGGGAAATCTTCTATCTGGAATAAATGGGTAATGATTCCCCAGTTGTGCCTATCCCTTAGATCTTCCTATTTGTTTAATAGTCTGATTAAACATTTGCAAATTATTAAGTCCAAAATTTTAGGTACTTAATCAGGTAAAATTACTGGTGATTATTTTGATTCAAAACTTGACATTGATTTCCTGTAAGCAATATTGAAAGTGAAACTAAAGCTAAATCTAGTTTTAAATAGGACCAGTAATATGAAATCAGCTGATTTTTTCTCCGACCATTTATTATTATTTTTTAATATTAGGAAGCCTCTCTTAAAAAAAAAAAAGAAAGAAAAGAAAAAGTACAGGGATGATTGAATCCTGGTAAATGTGTTTGAAACGCCTGAATTTCACCAATGGCACCGCTTTCCAGATAATCCAACGTTACTAACTTCAGATAATTACGGAAATGTTAATCAAGAAATTTAGGCTGGGTGTGGTAGCTCACTCCTGCAATCCAAGCATTTTGGGAGGCCAAGGTGAGCAGGTCACTTGAGTCCAGGAATTGGAAACCAGCCCGGGAAACATGGGGAAACCCCATCTCTACAATTAGTAATAAAAATAAATTAGCTGGGTGTGAAGGCATGTGCCTATTACAATAGTCCCAGTTAGCCAGGAGTCTGAGATGGGAGTCTGAGCCCAGGAGATGCCACTGCACTCCAACCTGGGCAACAGAGAGACACTGTCTCCACCCCCCCCTCCCCCGACAAAAAGTTATCACTTCACAAGCGTACATAGCAATGATTGCACATAGCAATATGTCTATGCACATAGAAAATGTACATAGCAATATGTCTATGTTACACAGATAGAAGTCTAGAAGTATTCACCAACCACTACCGCCCCCAAAATTAGTAATTCTAGCTCAGGTGATTTTAAAAAAGTCTTTCTGAATTATATGAATTTTCAAAGACTGTTTTAATAATAATAGATATACATACACATACTCTTAAGAAGGAAATAACTTTTATTTTGATAAAAAGAATCTTAGTTGAAGATTTTTTGAACATTTTCCATATCAGATTTTGAGCTTCTTATTTATATATTTTTTGAAAAAGTAAAGTGCAATGTCTATATGTTTTTGTATTTTGTGGTTTAACTTTTAATTCATTTACAAGACATATCAAAGAAAAGTTTTTTGAAATGAGGGTGTTTTACTGGCTCATTGATTTTGGAAGGAAATTGGAGGAAATAATGGAGTTGCAGATGCTTTTAATCCCAGTGAGCCAGTCAAGGAGACAGGAAGTTATGACATGAGTAGGTCATACAGGGCAAGTGATTATCTTTGTGTACTTACTTCAGTATAGTTCAGAATAGTCAATGTCGTGTGTGTGCGTGTGTGTGTGTTTACAAATTGACTTTAATATACATTCTGAAGATAGCGATAAGCATATGAATGGCCTAATCTGGAATGATCTCCTCAAGAAGAGGTACTTCATTCTGTGTCAACACCAAATTCTTGTCAACTGGCATAAAGGATGGTAAAAGTAATAACATCAATGTTGTTTAACAGAGGTGATTGGTCAGAAAAGCATGAAGAAGTGTCTTTGGTCTTCTATAAAAACATAAAATAAACTGGATAAGTTATACACAACAGAAATTTACTTCTCACATTTCTGGAGGCTGAGAAACACAAGCATGAGCAGATTGGGGGTCTGATAAGGGTATGATTTCTGGTTCATAGTTGGTGGCCTCTTGATGTGTACTCACACGGTGAAGGGCAAGGCATCTTTCTGGAACCTCTTTTCTAAGGGCACTAGTATCACCAGTTCCATTCTCATGACCTAAGTTTATTCTCACCTCCTAAATAACCCACTGTCTAATACTATTACATTGGTGATTAGGTGTCAACATATACTTTGGGGTGGTGGGGAGGTGCAAACATTCAGACCACAGTAAGAATACATAAAATCAGACAACCCTCCAACTCTATGCCATCTGTGCAATGTTCCAGTTGAATAGCCCTGCCTTTCACCCGCCACAGAGAATTTTGCCACTTGTTTTAACTTCAAGGCCATAGAGCCTCACCACATTCAACTGGGAATGAACTCTGGCTTCAAAGGAGCAGCATCCACAGGCTAAAAACACATTATATGACTATTTGCAGCTACTTGCTATTAAATGCTTGACACAATTTAATCCAGGCCTTTTTTAGTGCCATGTAACTGAAAAACCTGGTATCAAGTTTTGGAGGATGGGGACTTATGACATCTCTGAGTTCTAACCACAAGGGGCAGTTCACACTTTTAAAAATGATTCTGTAACACTTCAAGTTACAATTTAATTACTGATCCAAGCCAATATATTCAGTAGTGCCCAGGAACACCACATTTTCATTGAAATTAAATACAAGAGTATATTAGAAAGGTGAACCAAAACATTCAAATGAAAATGTGAGGCTCATTAAAAAAAATCAGGAAATTCAATACAATAATTTCAAATCAAGTATTGACCTTTCTGAGGCTCTGGCACTACATGGCTGCATTATTTGCTTATCCACGCAGATAGACTTAAACATAAGATTTTTTTTTTCTGAAAAACACTTTTCTCTTTTTTCTCTCTTTCCCTTTCTCTCTTCCTCTTTTTCCTTCTTTCATTTGCAATAATAGATATCAAAGATCTGTTGCTAATTTTGATTTAGACTCAGAGTAATGTAAAATTAGGAAAAATCATACATTGCCCTTAATACTATGAAGACAGAATATCTAAAATTATCTCACACTATTTTACATAGGCTAAGTTCATGCTTTTAGAGAAGTCAGTGAAGAGTTAATTTCCAAAGCCCTTAGACTTGGAGTAAGACCTTTATGATGTTCCTGATGTAGCTGAAGCTTTTATGGAGGTTATTTAAAGGATAACTTTACTGAAACCCTATTTCCAACGCTTCTGTTTCCAAATCAGTCACTCCCATGTGCTTTAACTGATAGCTACCAGTGATTCCCCTAGTTATGGTCTAGATGTTATTTCCTCCAAGAAGTTTTATTTGGTCTGTACAACTGAGCTAGATCCCTACTTCTGTGCATCTACGGCACCCTGCACTGATCACACTGTGTATGTGCGGTCTCCGTAACTAGGCTTTAGGCTTTTACCTTGTTTACTGCCCTTCTATAGTACTTAGCACAAAGCCTTGAAATTCAGCTGCTCATAAGTATTTATCAATTCTATTGTTCACCTCAGTGTTAAAATAAGATCTTACCTTTAATATTCCAAAGTATTTGATCATACCAAGGAGAAAAGTTCAGGGAGACAGAACTTAAACTCATTCTTGGTGATCCATATTTTCATTTTGCAGAAATACGTCAGATAAGTTGAATCAAGGTAGTTAATTAAATGTTGAGAATCAAGAGTAAAGGTCTTTATGACTCTGCCTTAACCATCCTGCATAACCCAGACCCCCAGTGTGGTTCTGCTTGGAGAGAGCCCACATCCAGAGCCCTGGGTTTCAGACCTCATAGCAGAACCCACACAGAATCCTGCTAAGGAAGAGTACAAAGCAACAAAACAGTGATAGCAGATAAGACAGGCAGCCCCAGGTATAAATTTAGTTGTAGGAATTCGAAATTTTTTTATAGGGAAGAGTTGGTCTCTTTCTTATGAAGACTGTAGAGTTGGTGTAATCAGGTGCATTATTATGATTCCAAACTAATGGTCTCTGTGTCAAGACCACACTCACCACAGTTCTGTCTTGCAAGATGATTCATCAGGTAGGATTTCCCTATGCATTGTAGCCCTACAGAAATCACCATCACCACAGGCTGAGATATCTTGTAAATAAGCTTTACTGTTTCAGATTCACTATCAGCTGCTCTTTCTGGCTTTCCACTAAACAAATAAGGGTTATCCTGATGTGTTCAGGTGCCATGGTAAGCTGCAAATCCAGAAGAGTATCTCAGTGGAATGAATATAAGATTCCAAAGTCATTTCTAATGGCTGTCAAGGCATGAGCATATCAGCTTCCTGCTTGTGAAGTCTATGTAACAACCTCCAAGGGAAAAGTATGTAGACTTGCACTGGCAGATTATAGAGCTCTTTCTCCATTATGTTCATTACTGTTCGTAAAATTGATGATAAAAGGGTATAATTGGTGTCTAAAGTCTCATTCTTTTAAAAATAATATTCTAGCTAATGAATATTTATCTATGCCTGGTGTGGATGCTTTATGTACATTATGCATTAATCCTTAAAAGAAACATAAAGTATTTCATCTGTTCTAGTAGATGAAATGAAGGCAGTAAAGATATAAGCAAAATGATTGGTTACATATTTCATAGTCAGTGGTTGAAGCAAGAATTCAACAGTGATCTATTTTTCTCACTATATTACTTGCTAAAAACTAACTTGTCAGAATCAACTTCCTAAAATAAACACTTTCACATATATAATAAGTGGTATGGTTTGGATTTGTGTCCTCATCCAAATCTCATGTGGAATTGGAGGAGGGGCCTGGAGGGGGGCGATTGGATCGTGGGGGTAGATTTCCCTCTTGCTATTCTCATGATAGTGATTGAGTTCTCATGAGATCTGAAGGTTGAAAAGTGTGTGGCACTTCCCCCTTTCCTCCCGCCCTCTCTCCTGCCACCATGTGAAAAAAGGTGCTTGCTTCCTCTTTGCCTTCCACTGTGATTTTAAGTTTCCTGAGACCTCCCAGTCATGCTTCCTGTTAAGCCTGTGGAACTATGAGTCAATTAAATCTCTTTTCTTCATAAATTACCTATTCTCAAGTAATTCTTTACAGCAGTGTGAGAATGGACTAATACAGAAAATTGGTACCGACAGGGGTACGGCTATACCTGAAAATGTGGAAGTGACTTTGGAACTGGGTAACAGGCAGAGGTTGGAACCGTTTGGAGGGCGATGAGGAAGACAGGAAGATGTGGGAAAGTCTGGAACATCCTAGAGCCTTACTGAATGGTTTTGACCAAAATGCCAATAATGATATCAACAATAAAGTCTAGGCTATGTGGTCTCAGATGGAGATGAGGAACTTATTGGGAACTAAGCTAAAGGTCACTCTTGGTATGCTTTAACAAAGAGACTGGTGCTATTTTGCCCTTGCACTAGAAATCATTATATATTTTATGAGCCCAATGCCATGCCCACTGTTAGCAATATGAACAAAAAATACAGAGTTACAACCTTCAAAATGCCTTAGAATCTGTATCAGCTGGATTTAGTTCATCTATGAGTAATAGGAAAACTTAAGCAAATGGTGGTTTAAAAAGTCCTGGGTTCTGTTTCACAAAGTTATTAGAATACTATTTCCCTCTATTTCCTGCTTCAGCCATCCTTTAACGTGCCACCTCATGGTCCAAGATGGCTTGCCATCACATGAACCTTCCATCCAGCAGAAGAAGAATGGAAGGAAGAGGCTACTTCCCTTGAAAGGGCATCTCCTGAATACTGATCATAGAATTACACCTGATGGCTGCCCTAATGCAAAGAAGTCTGAAGCATTTTTTTTCTCTAATGGATTGCCATATACCCATGTAAAAATCAGATTTTCCATCACAATAGAACAATAAAAAGATGGATATTGGAAGGTCAGTGTCAGCTTTTTCCACAGTAGCAAATAATATCTCAAGAACTTACGGTGTATTGGACAAAAAAAGACAATAAATCATTTATTGCATTATAAAAAGGAAAAGTGCCATGATAGATACATGCATAATATGGTGTCAAAATAAAAAGAATGGTGAACTAATACAGATTGAAGGAAGAATGAGTCAACAAAAGTTTCTAAAGTGGCACAGAGAAATAAGCAGAAGGAAGCTAAGTAAAAATGTTTCAAAGAGAGTGTTTAAAGCGAGAAAAATGTAATATACAATTATTCTTATTGTTAAAGTGAGAAAGACATATTAAGAGTAATGTCTAGTGTTTCACCTTGGGTGGGTAGCTGAGTACATGTCAAAAAATAAGATATGGGCCAGGCGCGGTGGCTCACGCCTGTAATCCCAGCACTTTGGGAGGCCGAGGCGGGTGGATCACGAGGTCAAGAGATCGAGACCATCCTGGTCAACATGGTGAAACCCCGTCTCTACTAAAAATACAAAAAATCAGCTGGGCATCGTGGTGTGTGCCTGTAATCCCAGCTACTCAGGATGGTGATGCAGGAGAATCGCTTGAATATGGGACGCTGAGGTTGCAGTGAGCTGAGATCATGCCATTGCACTCCAGCCTGGGCAACAAGAGTGAAACTCAGTCACAAAAAAAAAAAAAAAAAAGATATACAGGCACAAAAGTATCTGAAATGTTAAGCACGTAATGAAAAAATTAGTTTCTCATAAGAAACAAATGGACAATATTGTCTATTCTAACAAAATGCAGAGAGAAAATATAACGCTGAAAAATTATGTAGGGAGCCATTCTTTATCCAAAAGTTATGCTTGGTTACTGTTAAATATTTTATTCAGTTTTTCAAATGAGATAAGAGGGTTGGTATGCATACTACCATTCACTTGCGCCAGGTGATACAGAGCTATACTTAGGCATTACACAGACTCATAACAATGACACCTCCCTCTGTAATGAGCACACCTCCCTCCGGTGAAGTAGAAGCAGCCCAGATGTTCCCAGAGACCTCAGCTTTGACTTGTAGGAAGACCCTACTGAGATCTCTTCCCATTCAGGCACGAGGACTGCCTGAATGACCGTACAAAGCAACCCACCTTAGGCAGAAGGCTGGAAACA